GGCCACACCCCAGACTGGCCACGGCCGAGATGTCTCGGCCACGCCCCAGACTGGCCACGGCCGAGATGTCTCGGCCACGCCCCAGACTGGCCACGGCCGAGATGTCTCTGCCACACCCCAGATTGGCCACGGCAGAGATGTCTCGGCCACAGCCGAGGTTCGCAGGCACTACCCTTCACAGGCAAACGCGAAGTCTCAAGAGCAGACTACTCCAAAGAAGTGGGGGGCGCAGGCCAAAAAAAGAAAAAAGAAAAAGAAGAAATTAAAAAGTAAACAACCAGGAACTTTGAATCCACCTACGTATACAGCGGCCTAGCTCAGTTGGTAAGGCACACAAGTGGCATGCAGGAGGTCTTGGGTTCAATCCCCATTGGCCTCACGCACCTTCCTGGGCAAGCTTGGCGCCCGCCACCTAGAGATATGCCGTTGGTTCGAGTGGCATTGAGCAGAGACTGCTGATGTTCATAGGGGGAAGGTACCGGAGGGGAGGCACAGTGACTGGCCCATGGAAGAAGCTCAGTCCTGATGCTACCGGCTGATCCTATTCAGCTGCTTCTCTCCTCTGTTTTTCTTCCATAAATTGTGAGTTATAGTCCGACTCCACGCTTGATCGGCTATCCCTAAAGAACTGGAGCCTTCGAGATTCCGACTTGCAACTCCCCAAGCGACACGTGTCGATTCGTGCTTCAAATAGATGGCCATCGCTGGCGCCAAGGAACAGGAGTGCTTCGTCGTGGTCCTCGTGCAGAGCTAATCCCGTGATGGCTGCGCGTTTGTACTCCAGGACTCTCTCCATGTCTACCGCCTCCTCCGCACACGATGAGCCCAGCGTCAGACGCAGAACAGTACCCCTCTGTCCGGTCGCGAACAGGTGGCACGCGTCGGCAGTTGTCGCTAATATGGCAGCTGGGAATGGGAAACGCGCGACAAAAGACTGTTCATCAGGATCCTGACCGGTGCTCAAGTCAGCTACGAGAGTGCTAAGCGAGGATTTCACGTGAGTATCGATCGCAAACACTCGCGCTCCGAACCTTGCGCGATGAGGCAGTTTCGTCAGATGGCACAGGCAACTACTGCTGCTGTCGGAAACCAGACTCTCGTACTGAAATTGCACACCGGTGGCATTCACATTCAGCTTCGAGTGAGAGTCAACAACGTGCTTAGGCTCCTCCAGAGGCAGGCCGAWCTCGCTCACCGGGACGGAGAGCACGCCATCGCCAGATCCAACCACCAAGAGATAGACACGTGTCCTCGTGGAGTCCATCGCTAAGGACCCGATCGAGGAATTGAGCGGGACAGAAGATCGAGAGCCGTCAGCAATAGACAAAGATGCGATCATGGAACGCCCATCCCCACTCCTGACGCTAAGGACGAGATGCGAGGCTCTCCTCGACATGGCGGCCCCCGTTACGTAAGCCATGGACGAGAGGGTGAACTTCCTACTGGCTTCTGCTACTCTCGTCCCGTTCGGCTCGTTGTAAGGCCACCAATAACTTATCACTGTGGATTCGTCACCGCTGCTCGGGTTCGAGCCATGGTTCGTCTTGGATGGATAGGCGCTTCTGACGGACATAGCCTCATCCGTGATGGTACCGTCTGCAGAGGCGCACCATTGATGCAGGACGTAGTACAGATGATTGCGGGAAACAACGAGGTTGCAGACGTCCGATTGGCAATGTCCACGTGGCACTGCTGTATTGGCGATCAACGGATCATGTGATCGTACAACTGCCAATGAACCGGCGAGAAAAACCGGCGAGCGCGCCAGCGGCAGGTCCGGATGAGGGTGCAAACCCGACAAGATCGGTCCCGCTTTCGACGGACCCACACGTGTCCACCTCCTGAAACGCTCGGCATTTGCTTCGCCACGGGAATTGGAGAATGCAGGCCCTGAGGAGTATCCTCCAGCAGAGACGTGTCCTTCCCCGCGTGACACGGACAGGTCACATGCACGGCAGCCCCACAGGAAAGCCACGCACGACAAACAACCGAAGCAGATGATTCGGAGAACGACATGGGAAGACACACGATCTCGCTGCAGATCACTGAACGGCATATCCACCGCCCCGATAGTTGCAGTCCTCACTCTACTCTGTGAATCCCAACTAACGACTTCAACATGCTACGCAGTGCGCACCTCTCTCTCTCTCTCTCTCTCTCTCTCTCTCTCTCTCTCTCTCTCTCTCTCTCTCTCTCTCTCTCTCTCTCTCTGGTGTCCTCTAGCGCTACTCTGGTGTCCTCTAGCGCTACTCTGCTCTCTTCTTGTAATCACTTCCCTCCTTACCGCTCGCAATCCCAATACACTCCCACCTTCGGCTTGTAGTGAGTATTCCAGTGTAACGAATCTTCCTCTTCAACGGATCTCTGTGTAATGCCACGTAGGATCCGTCGCTGGCCTTAATGGGGGGGGTTCGAACCCTCCCCCTTTTTTCTTTTTCGAACTTTTCAACCAAACTGAGATTGTCATTATGTGTAATCCCACGTAGGATCAGGCGCTGGCCTTAATAGGGGGGGATCGAACTTCCCCCTTTTTTTTTTTCGAACTTTTCAACGAAAATGAGATTGTTATTATGTATAATGCCACGTAGGATCGGTCGCTGTCATTATGTGTAATGCCATGTAGGATCGGTCGCTGGCCTTAAGGGGGGGGGATCGAACCCTCCCCCTTTTTTTTTTCGAACTTTTCAACAAAAATGAGATCGTGATTATGTGTAATGCCACGTAGGATCGGTTGCTGGCCTTAAGGGGGGGGGGGGTCGAACCCTCCCCTTTTTTTTTTTCGAACTTTTCAACAAAACTGAGATTATCATTATGTGTAATGCCACGCAGGATCAGGCGCTGGCCTTAATGGGGGGGTATCGAACCCTCCCCCTTTTTTTTTTTCGAACTTTTCAACAAAAATGAGATTGTCATTATGTGTAATGCCACGTTGGATCGGTCGCTGTCATTATGTCTAATACCACGTAGAATCGGTCGCTGGCCTTAAGGGGGGGGGGGGGATCGAACCCTCCCCCTTTTTATTTTTCAAACTTTTCAACAAAAATGAGATTGTCATTATGTGTAATGCCACGTAGGATCAGGCGCTGGCCTTAGC